CAGGCATTAGAAGACACAGATCATGATGCTTTTGGAATTCTGACCTTGGAAGTCCAGAAATAGCCCACACTGGGAAAGCTCTCCCGGGATCTCCCAGGCCCTGAGCCCACGCCAGGGCAGCCAGAGTGTCTGGGGGGGGGTCTCAGCCACTGTAGAAACTCATTTAATTCGGGGGACATTCTTGTTCCCATCATGTGATGGAGGAAAGAGATGCCCAGAGGTGAAGAGACTTGTCTGGAGTTGTCCATCTGGGGCCCAAGGCAGGATTTGAATTGAGATCTTGCCTGTTTCTAAGCCTGGTGCTCCACCTAAGGCTGTTTCCTCCACGACCTCCAGCAGGGTGCCTTCGGCATCCAGCCCCACCAGGGTTCCTCTTCAGAGCACATGGGCTCTGTTGCCCTTGGTGGGGAGTGGTAAAATTACCCCCTCCTGGGGAGTGAGCCTGCAGCCCCAAAGCGGGGATGGGAGAACAGCTTCTAGACTGAGCTCTGCCACTCACTTGATGTATGACCTTGGGCAAGTCCTTTTCTCTACCCCCCTGCCTCAGTGGCCTTCTCTGGAAAATGCTCCCTCCATTTCCTCACATCTCTAAAATTAATCCAGGTGCCTGTTTCCCCAGCCAAGGGCAGGGCAGACCCCCTGGCGGTATGGAGGCAGGGGTGGGGTGGGGGGGGCATCGTCTTCCATCGCTGCACACCTCATCCGTGTTAGGGCCTCTCTAGTGCAGTCAGGCAGGCAATAAATGTTTATTAAGTACTAACTGGGAGCCAGGCATCTGTCCTCCAAGTTCTGAGAATACAAAGAAAAGACAATATGTAAAAAAAAACAATTAACAAACCAAGTCAGAATTTGAACTCAGGTTCTCTGATACCTAGACCTGGGATCTACTGTCTCTTGCTTTCTTACTCCAGCTAGGAACTGTTGGTGAGACTCAGAAGGCTACCTCGTACGTGCTTCTGTGTCTCAGCCTGGGGATCATTGGATGCTACTACCATCCTTGGTGACGAGGGGTCCCTGTCCCTCACTCGTCTGCCAAGTCAGGCTGCCTGGGCCTTTCTTCTTGCCATAAGTGACTCTCCTGGGGCCTTCATCTGCTGTATGTCCTCTTTCTACCTCCTCAGGGATTGACGTGCCTAACTCGAGCAACATGAGTGCTCAGGGTCTCCCCATGAGGAATGATATAGATTATGAGATGTCTTCCATGAGAAAAGAACCACAGAAAGGTAAGGACTTTTGTTTTGGCAGAGTAGGGCTGAACATTTCTTAGGCGTAGCTACACACTCAGGAGATGTGAGGGGCACAGACTGGGGGGAGGGGCAGTTGCCATCATTTGCTTCTCTAGAGTCAGGGGTGTCAAACTCCCAGAGAACTGCAAGCTCCCACAAAATTCTTGAGTGGAGTCTGAACCAGATTGAAATGTAATTGGAAATTTTTTTTTGACAAAAGAAATAAAAAAATACAATGCACCATAGATAATGTTAATTTGTGGTTTTCTGAGTTAATGTGATACCTTCAAAGGATCTGTTGGTATTGGAGTTTGACACCAGTGGTCTAGCAGGTAGAGAGCCCTGTGCTGTCAGAGGAAATACCTGGGTTTGATACCCTGGAGGCAAAAGATCTGGGTTCAAATCCTGGCTTTTCCAGTTACCATCTTTGTGACCCTGGACTTCACAGAAGTCCCCTCATTGGGCCTCAGTTTTCTCTTCTGGTAGAAAAAAAGGGTTAAACTAGGCTACCACCTAAGGTCTTTTCTCATTTTATAGCCCATGGTCCCTTGCTGCCTCAGTGGGTCTCAGTTTTTGTGCTAGCACAAGGGTAATCCTAATGCTTTAGAGCTGGACTTAGAGATCATATCTAGAGGCAGCCTGGTGTAATGGAACATGCCCTAGACTTCATGGAAAGAGATCTGGATTCAAATTCTGGCTTTGACATCAATCTGGTTGTGTGACAAACCCCTTCCCTTTCTCAGAACCTCAGTTTCCTCCTTGGTAAAATGACAATAATACTGATACGGGACAGAGGAGAGCAGTGTGTAAACTCTCAAGTGCTAGAAAAAAAGGATACGTTTCGATCTGGTTTACTAAGAGGGAAACTGAAGCCCAGAGCAAGCAACTTAATGAAAAAGCATTTCTTAAGCACTGGGGATACAAATAACAAATAGGAGAGTTCCTGCTCTCAACACATGCAAAGCTGAGCAGCCAGTGAGCAGTTCTCCTGGATCCTGAGGGTAGTCAGGGAATTTTCCGTCTTATATTACATATTACATCAAAAGGCATAATACCTCCCTGGGCTCCCTGACCACTAGGATTCCTGACTCCTCTTCTTTATCTGCTGCCTTCTTCCCAACAGCTCTTGAGGGCTGCATGGAGGTGGGGGTGACATGCTCTCTCTAGCCATATAATATATTATATATATATATATACATACACACATACATACACATATACATGCACATATACACACATATACACATATACAAACACACACATATGCATATACAAATATACATGCACACATACACATGCACATATATACATATACACACATACACATATACATGTATAAGCAAGTGTTCCATATATGTATAAGTACATGTATATGTACACACATGTACACACAGTACATAGATACATATACACATAGGTATACATACAATATACACGCATACACATACATAATATAATACATATATACACATACACATGCGTATACATATATACAACACATACATAATACACATATACACACATGTATGCATGTATGTGTGTATTCCATAGATGTATTTCATATATTTATGTGTATGTGCATGTATGTATTTATGTATTCCATATATGCATACATGCATATATAAACATATAATACATACTCACACACAAGTATGCACATTGCATACATACACAATACATACGCATACACATAATATACATGCATACACATACATACCTATAAATATATACATGCATCTACATATAAAAATAATACATATACACACATATGCACACATATACAGATACATGCATGCATATATACACACATACGTATATACGTATACATATGTGTGTGTGTATCTATCTATCTATCTATCTATCTATCTATCTATCTATCTATCTATCTATCTATCTATCTATATATCTATCTATCTGTGTGTGTGTGTGTATGCTTTTGAGCCTGAACCAGCCATGTGCTGCTGCTGTGTTTACAAACCAGCACAGAGGGAAGCCAATGTGTAAGGAGCTTACGGAGCCCCCTAGAAGCCAGCCTCTTCATGCCTACCTCTGAGGCCCCCAGATTGGGGTTGGGACACCATGGAATGAGGTGTGAGCAGGAGAAGCTGCGCCGTGTGCCTCGGTGGACTGGCCACATCAGGGCTTGTCTGCTGCCATTTTGAGACGCCGCTAGGTTCAGGGGCACTGAGGCACTGTGCTCATCCTGCTTCCCCATCCATCTCTCCCTTTACAGTCCAGAAGGTGAAAGCACCCCATTGTCCCTCACCAGGCAGTGAGCCCAACTTCCTCATTCAGAAGAAGTCTGAGGATGGCAAAGGTACCAACTGCTTTCTCTCTCTGGCGCTGGGAGGCTGGGCAGGGGGGAGGATGGAGACATGGCCCCAGTTCTTGGAGAGGCCCTGATCTGGTGAGGGGAGAGGCACTGTGCCTGCCCTCGGGGAGCCCCCAGTCTGGTGAGGGAGGAGGCACTGTGCCTGCCCTCGGGGAGCCCCCAGTCTGGTTAGGAGAGAGGCACTGTGCCTGCCCTCAGGGAGCCCTCAGTCTGGTTAGGAGAGAGGCACTGTGCCTGCCCTCAGGGAGCCCTCAGTCTGATTGGGGAACTACTGATCTCTTCTGTGACGGCTAATGTTCCTTCTTCCAGGGAATACCATCTACCTTTGGGAGTTCCTGCTGGCTCTCCTGCAGGACAAGAACACTTGCCCCAGGTACATCAAATGGATCCAGCGTGAGAAGGGCATCTTCAAGCTCGTGGACGCCCAGGCCGTGTCAAGGCTGTGGGGGAAGCAGAAAAACAAGCCGGACATGAACTACAAGACCATGGGGCGGGCACTGAGGTAAGCCTATTCGGGGCCCCATCCCAGCATCCCCTAGATGTTCTCCTTGGTGTCCTACCTCAGTCTTTCCTGCTTTGGGCCTCTCGTTTTGCCCTCCAGGGAAGCGGGGGGCCGATGCCCTTCTCCCAAGCCATCCCCTAGAGGGGCCCCTCAGCCTGATGCCTCAAGGATGGGAGAGTTCTTTATTATCCCGCTTAAACATTTTGCCTGCAAGTTTCCTGTTTCCTGCACCCTCCCCATTAGTTTGTCAGCCCCTGTGGTAATTCCCTGGGTTAGTGTAAGTCACCACAGCAGGCCCTCCCTCCCTTGAGTTTGGGTTTCCAAAGTGTTTGGAAGTTGAAGCAGTAAAGGGCTTTCCTGAGTGCTGGCAGGGCAGCTCAGGCATTGGAGGTTCATGTCTTAGTGTCTCCCTCCCCGCTAACTGTGCCCTGTTGCCCCCAGGTATTATTATCAGAAGGGCATCCTCCGCAAAGTAGAGGGGCGGAAGCTGGTGTACCAGTTCAAGCGGATACCCAGGGAGGTACTGTTAATCGACGATGATGAGCCTGAAGATGTCAATATGGCAACCATCAAGGACCCGGAAACCCTCGCTAGCCAGGCAGGAGAAGGATCCTCAAAGGGAGACCATCCAAGTGGGAGCGGAAATGCCGGGCCTGCAGCCTATTTCGAAAAAGAGCCTGGCTGTTGCTGCTGTTCCCCAAGTTCCTCGCCTCCCTCCTAAGTCCAAGGAACTCTGGCCTACACCACAGGGTAGGGTCATCACTATTGCCCTGCATATGCCTCCATCTGGCAGATGGCTGACTCGGAGGGCCTTGCCAAGCATTTATGCATCTTTGGACTCATTCATTCCTCCAAAAAGCCTAGGGCAAGGCAGGTGTTAGAATCCAGATAAGGAAACTGAGGCAGGCTGAATAATTTAGTTCAATTCAGCCAGCATTTATCATCCACCTGCTGTGTACAGAACCCTGTGCTGGGCACCAAGGGCTAGCCCAAGTTTGAAGAAGACCTTGTCCTTGTCCTTGAGGAACTTGTAGGCATCTAGGGGGCTGAGATGCAAACACAGAGAAATATAGTGCATAATATTGCGTAAATATGATATACGGCATAATCAACAATAAATTAACAAGCATTTATTAAGTGCTTTCTATGTGCTAGGTGTTGGGGATACTATTACAAAGAAGAAAATAATGCTTTCCTTCAGGGAAGGCAGTTAGGTGGTGCTTCGGTGGACAGAGTTTGGAGCCTGGAGTCAGGAAGACTCCTCTTCCTGAGTTCAAATCCAGCCTCAGACACTTACTATCTGTGTGACCTTAGGCAAGTCACTTCACCCTGTTTGCCTCAGTTTCCTCATCTGTCAAATGAGCTGGAAAAGGAAATTGCAAACCACTCCAGGATCTTTGCCAAGAAAACCCAAAAGAGGTCAGGAAGAGTTGGACCGATTGAAAAAGACCGAATAACAACAACAACAACCCCCAGGGAGTTTACGGTCCTTTTTTTTTTTTTTTTTTTTTTAGTTTTTAGGCAACTGGGGTTAAGTGACTTGCCCAGGGTCACACAGCTAGCAAGTGTCAAGTGTTTGGTGGGAGCATACATTCTAATGAGGGAGATCACAAGTGTACATAGAAGAGCCTACAGAATAAGTAGAAGGAGAAAATTAAAAATAAATAAATATAAACTATTTACATATAAGGTAGTTTGGGAGGAAGGGTACTAGCAGTCAAGGAGATCAGGACACATAAGGCCTTTGAATTGGGTCTTAAAGGATGGTCAGGT